AAACTCTGGTGTGGCTCTTTCTTCCAGGGCTAGTCTGGAGTTATGTCTGTGTCCAGCTCTGCCCTGCTGGGGTTCTGGGGGGACCAGGGAAGGCAGTCTGTGGAGCTCTATGTGCTCTAACCCTAACCGAGGGACACCGGTGGCTGATGGATGGGGCTTGGCAGTATAGGCTTATCTCACCTTATCAGGATTTCCCTGACAGCAATGCACCGCAGACAGAGCAGAGTCCACACTGTGGCTGTGATAGGGCTGCCACGTGCCACCCATGACATTGCCCCTGGTGTCACAAAGGTCTCCCCAGCCCTGGAAGRTCCGTTTATGAGGGCTGGCAGGATGGGGACTGGCATGCCAAAGCTGAGGAAGGGCTCTGCTCAGGCATACCCCAGACCTGGGAGAAAGAGCTTTCTGACACCCCACGGAGGGATCCACAGAGCCCTCCTGCCATGGGCTCTGCCACACTCTGCTGTGTCCTTGGGGCTGCCCTGTTTATTTGTTGTGCCCCCTCATGCCCAGCACCTGGGCCTTCCCTGTACCAGGGTTGTCTTGGCAGCCCTGTGGGCCCAGGCCTCCCCAGGACCCCACAGGGAGGGATGCACCAGGCAGTACAGGACAGCCTTGGCTGACAAGCGTGTGCCTGCGTCGGGGACACAAAACCCAGTTTGGGTTTGTCTGGAAGATAACAGGGGATAAGGAGGGATACCCAGTGCTCTGGCCTTCACCACCCAAGCAGCCAGTGAGTACAGGGCTGGCTCTGCAGCAGAGCTCCCTGCTGTGTAACCATGCAGTTAACTCTCCTGCTGTCAGCTGCTGGCATGAGGSTGGCGTCTGGCTGGACAGTGAGGACGTGGGACTGAGCCCTAGGCTCCCCACCCCAACAGGCAGCACTGCCAGCCCTGTGCCTGTCTCTGCTGACGTGGCTCAAGGCCACAGACAAGGCCAGTGCAGGGCTAAGCTGCCAAGGACTCAGGGCTGAGCCCACAGTGGGGGAGCACTGAGCTCTGGTGGAGATGTCCCCAGTCATGGTCCATGCACTGAGGGTGGGCAGTGGGTCCCAGTCTGGGTCAGCAGGGATGGAGGAATAGGCTGGTGAAGCAATTGTTTCCCTGCTGCTTCTCTGCATGTTACATTTGGGGCTCCCCATTGCAAGAAAGATCCCATACTGRAGTGAGGCTGATGAAGACTGCTGAGCTGGTCAGGACTTGAGCTAGGCTTGTACTTAYTTGTACAGAAGAAGAGGAGAAATCAGCCTTTATCCGCCCTGAACTCTGAGTCATGGCAGGGCTCATTTCTTCTTTTCACCTCCCCCATCAGCATGAGTATTGGGGTGATGCCTCCTATGGGGACATCCTGCAGGCAGGGGTTGGATGTCCAGACTGTGTGAGTAGGTGCCAGACCTGGGGCCTTGTCCATGTCTCAGTGCTGACAGCCCTAGCTGTCCCCACGTCCAGCCTTGCCCTTCACCCCAGCCAACTGGCACTACTGGCTCCCCATCGTGTATGTATCATGCATGCWGCTGGCTGTGTCCTGCTTATGTCCCCAAAGACTGGCACCCTCAGAGGGGATGTACAGCTCTCCATTCTGGAACAGGAATCATTGCAGCACTGGATATAAGCCTCACTGCTTTTTACTGCTCTAATCTGGAACTTATAGCTTTGTGGAAGGAAGGATGAACATGTGTTCRTCCTGTGCAATAGAGCTTCCTGGGCATCCATGGCTCTGGACATGAAAGGCAGAAGAGGGAAACAACTTCATGTGAGAAAATGTCTTGTGAAGGTTGGAAGACAAAATTCAAGTCRGAATGAGCACAGGAAGGGTGCAGTTATTTCACGCCTGAGTTGAGATTATCAATTCAAGTGTCTTGAAGACCCAGAGAGACCCTTGGGGGCTCTTATGGACTCTGGTATGCACCCACAAGTCCCTCCACCTCATGCTGGTGGATTGGCACTCCCCAGGATAGCAGCCAACGCAGCCACCACCTGCCTAGGAGAGCCTGAGTCAAGCTGTGGCCCCATGTGACAGCTTTGTCCCACCTGGATCCCATCCTTTGGCACCAAGACCCCATGCCAGTGTCACCCTGTCATACTTGTGTGGGCACCCTCATCACACAGCAGCCAGGAGTTCCCCAGCCTGCTGCATCAGGCTTCTCGGGTTTCCATCAGCCTGCCTGATGGTGGCACAGTGCCAGTGGCACTGAAATGTGGTGGCAGTCAGTCTCTTCCGCTGTTTTTGTGGCATCTTCTGCTGCTCCCTGGCTACCCTGAGAGGCCAGAGGCCAGGGTGGTGGGCATAACTCACCCACACCCTGAAGTCCTGGCCCTAGGGAGAGCACTGGTTCAGGCTGTCGTGGCACTGGTGCCCATGGGTGCTCAGGCCACCCTGGGCAAGGACAGCCCACGTGTCTGGCCCCAGACCCTGGGAAGGATGTGCTGGTCGTCATCATGTAGCATCCACCTGGAGTCCTTCAAGAGCCATCCCTCTAAGATATATGTCAAATAGATATTTATAGGGGAAGGGACTACAGAGGCAGAATTTTCTTATCTCTGGCCAGATTCTTATTGCAGGAGCAGAGCTGCTCCATCAACTATTTTTAGTGTGAGTCTGGTCTGCATAGATGATTGGATGGTCAGGCTCTGCACATCTACAGGTTTTGCAGCTCACAGGAACTGTCTCCTGCTGTGGGTCTTCAACCTCCTCAAGGTCTTTTCTAAGAGTCAAAGAGCACCCTGAAGGCCCTGGGCAGCCTTGTCTGGGTGACCCTGCTTAAGCCAGGGACTAGACAACCTCTATCCCCAGAAAGGAGGTGTGTCTTGCCTCTAGCATTAAATA